CCTCGGCTTCCCTGACCCCTACACCCAAGTGGACTTCTATCCTAATGGAGGAATTAGGCCACAACCGGGCTGCGACGCGAGTGACGTCACTGGTGAGCCGATGCCTTGGACACCTGACCACGACGGTTCAGGGTTAAAGATTTGTTTTTTGAGTATCGAAAACCTCGCTGGATCGGACAATGAAAATATATTTTGTATTTTGCTTTCATTTCAGGTCAATGCAGTCACAGCAAAGCTTGGGAGTACTTCATTGAATCGATCAAAAGAGAGGACAGGTTTCCTGCCGTGGGCTGTCTCACTGAAGAGGAGGCAAATACTGGCGCTTGCACGGACGATTCTACGGGAATAATGGGAGACGCCATACAATTTACGTAAGTGGTCACTGTCAACAACAGAACTGGGGGCTGAAATCTGCAAGCGGCTCGCGGATGACGGCGTAATGGCCCGATAATTTACTTCTGTTCGTAGTCAAAGATAAATTCTAATAGTATCTTCCCACCTATGCCCAGGTTTCACAAAACGCCTCCTCCCCTAAGATCTTTTAAATAATATATGCCTTTTTGTATTACAGAAATATATAAAGAAAAAATAACTTCGAATCTCAACAGTAGAGTCCACAAACCACCGCCATGAACAAACATGGCGGCTACACAATATTCAGATTTGAATGCAACAAGAGAGTGATTTATTTTAAAGTAGGGCTTCAGGATCTCATGCAGCGAGTATGAAGATGGCAATGCACTTCTGTGTTGTCTGGTACAAGTCTACCAACGTTTCAGAGGTACTTTTTACCTCTGCAATCAGGAATTGCCCTGATGATGTACCAGACTACACAGTGGTAAAAGACAGAGGAAAGCCATATTCAATTTTAAAGTACAATAATATTAAATTAGAAACATTTCTGGGGACACATTTTCTAAATTATGAACTAAAAACAGACGGGTGTCACAGTTCATTTGTTTAGGCATTCAAATGTAATAACATAAAACTTGGTACCTTGTAGCTGAATGTGTTTTCTTGTATTTCAGGAAGAAAGGGATATACTACGTGGACACCACTAAGTAACCAACACATCTCACGAAGAAACCAATTTTTTATCATGACCTGTCTTCATAGAAATGAAGGATTTTCCTTTAAAACATATTAACTGGAAGGTTTCAGATTAAAAGTATTTGGCCAGAAAGAAAAAGTTATGTTCTCTTATACTATTCAATATACATGTTTATGAGGTCATTCAAGGCTTGCACGTTTTACTGCTTACTCCAAATGAAAGTTGGACCACTTATACATTCATGATTCAAGCAATGTTCTCAATAAAAGAATGTTACAACCAATTTATAAAATGACTAAAACATTCCATCCTACATCCACACATTTTTAAATCAAAGTTAGGTGCATGTTTCTGTCTTACTCCTGAACAAATTGCACAATTTTTCTGCACACCAAAAGTTTGCACATCCATCATTCTGATAGGACAACAGAAACTATGACTACATGGGCCCTGAGACTCTCCTAAAATGGCATAATGACTGTTCCTTTCAATTGTGGTTCTAGGTGGCTGCAACTGCCAAGAAGATTCTGTCCATTTTATATCATATTAACAAAACACCTACACCCCTGATTGTCTTACACACAGGTTCCCAGGTTTTGCTACATGTTTGTAAGAACATGTAGTTCCTATCTATGCAAAGATTTTTAAAATACAACGCTCTGTTTTTCTCTAAAAGAACATTTGTTTCTCTTTTTACTGCATGCAAAAAGAAATACACAATTTTACTCACAGGCACATGGACGATTCCTCTTCAAACCTCCGAGTGTAGCCAACAGTCACAGAAAGCAACTTCATTGAAATTATCATTGTTTTACAGTTTCTACAAACACCACTTTTAAACACTACATCACAAGTTACAAATCTCAATTCGGTCTAAAGTTACGAAGGAATTGCAATGTACATGCAAACTCGTCTCCATATTGCATTTACTCATATGACATAATACAAAACATCTGTGAATGAAATCACAGATAAAAAGCAGAAAACATAATTAAAAAACTGTCTGAAGATGTCGGCCATTTTCGTTCTTTTTGTATGGATTTGAAATCAGTTGGCGTCTAACCTGCATTATTTGAAATGAATCAAAACTTGTTTACATTTTTAAAACATGTCAGCATAATATAATACATAATAGATTTACCATGTAGAAGTTCTGTTGTATTATACACAGCAAAATAATTCTGTCCATGTTAAGCGAGTGCCTTGGTCTCTGGTCAAGTATGCAGAGTGGACCTCCAGATATGGAGGGCAACTGTGAATAAAATAAACACGAAGTAACGGACAACTGATAAGAGGTGGTTCAGCTTGGGCTAACAACTCCTCAAAGCAGAATGCTACAAAATGTTACACATGGCCTCAAAATTTTCTTATCAACAAATATGATTTTTAATATATCATATATTCCAAACAGTTAAAAATAAAAGTTTGGATTCATAATAATGTAAATGCAAACACAGCAATCTCCACTTTATGAACAAATTATAATGTAACCCTAAGTCCAATACCAACCACCACCTGTCCATCCTTCACAGCCTTCCTTTCCAGTTTTTCAAGTTCTATCTTCATATCGAGACCTTGGGTTTTCACAATGGTGAGAACATCAGTTTTGCTCTAATGTAATGCTGTGTATTTTCCAACATTTTAGAGGCATGCACATCTCTAAGAATCAGGACACTTCATTCATCACATAACCTTAAAAATGATGCATCATGAATTGGACCAAAATGACAACTTTTCCAGTGCACTTTGGAGGAATGATGAAAAATCAATACAAGTATTGAGCTTAAGAATTGTTTATATTTCCAATCTGTATTTCTCTGTATTTACAAACAATGTAACTAAATGGAAACCCCAAGACAAGAAGTGGGTGGCTAAATTGCTCACAGATGTGTGAGTGCTCAAGAATCAATACATATTTCTAGAGCTAAAATCATCTAATAGACTTTATAAACAAATAATAATACTTCACATAATTGTACAAGAAAATCAAAAGTTTTAACAAAGTCTGCAACAAGAAGAGAAACTTTAAATAAATATGACAGAACCACATTCAAGAATTCAGACAGAAACAGTAACGAAATATATTCTCAAAAGATGATGACTAGCGGAGATCTAAACAAAAAAACAGCTGTTAACAATTATATATATACACTACCCAAATAGCAGTCACTTGCTCTGTAAACAAGAAAATTTGCAACCGCGTTAAAACTACAGATTACATACAAATACAGAGTAAAAATCAGCTTCATCTACTTGTATCTTATAAAATGTATTTATTATAGCCATGTTTTGAGTACAATTTGACTTCAGGTATAATATAACCCCAATTCTGTTCTGCACATTTAAACAAACACCAATCACGCATGAATATGTGGTCAGTCGGTTAACGCCGTTGCTCAAAACCTGATAAATGCGCTCTGAAATGCGTAACTACAGTCACACAGCACAAAGACTAGCTGATTCAAGCACAGTGTGACTGGATACAAAGACTACACAAGTAATCACCAAGAAACAGATTTACTAACAGCAAAATCACCATCATTTTCTAAGAACCATGTCCTTTGTCCTGATTTTGAAATCAAAATTCTGCATGTAATGGGATAATTAGTTTCGTGCGTGTATTTCTACAACAGCAACAATAATTCCTGCAGCATACAAGAGCCTGATTTTAAATGTTCTGAAATGGGCGATACCAAAAATTCTGACCAAACCACGTACGATTCATACGTCACTTCTGGCAGAAAAAGTAGCTGCAATGTTAGTACACTGAAGAAATTAAAATTGTTTTTATGGTTTATCTTTCACATCACAGTTACAAAAGGAGCTTTAATCTGTGAGCAGAGTCAGGCTTAGCCTTCGCTGCATCGCGTTAAAGCTACTACCAATTCCAAATCACAACCAATCTTCCTATTCGACACTTCTAATTACACCTCGGAACAAATCTCATTCAATTCCACAAAATTTTAACACGATTCATGACAATCAGACAAATGTTTGTGTTCGGAGCAGGGTCTAACCCCACACTGGCTCGTAACATCTTGGCACGTACGTAATACTTCCTTGCACACACTGAAGAAACAATTATGTTCTTAAAATGTTCAAAATGCCTCAGGTATTAAAGTACACATTTTACATATTTCCAAAAAAACAAATGCAAGACTAAATAAAAACAAGGAATCTAAAACTTCTTGACGATGGTGAAGAGTCAATTGAATAAAAATTTCCTTGGATATTATCCATCGTCTAGTAAATATAATAATACTAGACGATGGATAATATCCAAGGAAATTTTTATTCAATTGACTCTTCACCATCGTCAAGAAGTTTTAGATTCCTTGTTTTTATTTAGTCTTGCATTTGTTTTTTTGGAAATATGTAAAATGTGTACTTTAATACCTGAGGCATTTTGAACATTTTAAGAACATAATTGTTTCTTCAGTGTGTGCAAGGAAGTATTACGTACGTGCCAAGATGTTACGAGCCAGTGTGGGGTTAGACCCTGCTCCGAACACAAACATTTGTCTGATTGTCATGAATCGTGTTAAAATTTTGTGGAATTGAATGAGATTTGTTCCGAGGTGTAATTAGAAGTGTCGAATAGGAAGATTGGTTGTGATTTGGAATTGGTAGTAGCTTTAACGCGATGCAGCGAAGGCTAAGCCTGACTCTGCTCACAGATTAAAGCTCCTTTTGTAACTGTGATGTGAAAGATAAACCATAAAAACAATTTTAATTTCTTCAGTGTACTAACATTGCAGCTACTTTTTCTGCCAGAAGTGACGTATGAATCGTACGATTTATTCAAAAAACAAGGAACTTACCACATATTAAAGCAGCACGTGGAAACCTCCGTTGCGTCCAGAACCTTTACGATGAAGTGAAATGGGAAAGTAATTTCATAATTACGTAAACAACAAATGTTTAAGTCGAGATGTTTGTAAATATATTATGAATTCTGTTACGTGGTAATACCATAGACGCCTTCTATTCTACGTTTCTCGCTGGGAAAAGATTAAACTACACACAGTTGGTACTTCCAATCAAATTACACGCATACACGATCTACAGATGATCATTAATATTTATACTGTACAGTCTAAACCACAGCCTATTTCAGACAGCTACCGGTAACACTTTACGCCCAAAATTTTCTTTGTAGACAAAGCCATTCCACTTTCTGCCATGGTGAGATCAACGAGTGCGCTGAAATCATATGGACCAGATCTGTCACAGGTTCACACTCGTCGTCTTCAGTTTTGTCCATTTGACTAAACGCTTCGTCTCAACTACTATGTCCATAAGTGCACTGAATCCAAATCATTGCGGACTGCAAGTTAAATGCGAGAACAAAGAAACAGAAATCCTGGTGAGCGCAAGATGCGCAAAACTTGTCATTCGCTGTTCGTGAATTGTGACCATCAGAAGAGAAAATTTTTGTTGCAGAGAGAGAGAGAGAGAGAGAGAGAGAGAGAGATCTAGCCATCAGATTCAGACGGCGCAAGTTCCATGTCTTCAGACCAACTGAGGTCCATGGTTGTGGCAGAGCAGCTTCCAGACTCGGACTTTAACAGTAAGCGATACTGATGCGTACTCCCTGTTGAGGACATGTTCTGCTGCCCTGAACCTACTTCCGGTATCTGTGATACTATCCTCGCTTCTTCATTTCCTTCGTCTTGCTTGCCACTCCCACAGCCACTTTCTACGACTCCATTCTCGGGTGCCATCAACTCTCTTGAGACGCGCGGTCCCAAACCAGACGAGCTCCCAGAAGATGAGCTTCCTTCGTCTTCTGAGCAGCTGCTTCCGTCAGAGGAGGAATTAACTTCCTCTCCATCCTCATTTTCGTCTTCAGAAGTTTCTTCGGATATCATCGCTTCACCAGCAGATTCCTTGGGCATGGGTGGGAGGGGCTGGGCAGCGAGGAGAGAAAGATCACCACTGGTGCTGCCTGGAAGGGGTGGCAAGGGGAGTACTTCCGGGTCTCCCAGATCCAGAGAATCTGAAGCTGCAGATGAATCTATCAGATTCCCTGACACCTGCTTCCTGCTCCGGTAACAGGAGCAATCGTGATCTTTCTGTCCTACGTCTGAACTTCCGCTGGATCCAGGAGACTCTTCTTCATTTGAAAATTCCGACGTTCCTCTCTTCAGAGTACCGTTGCTCACGCCACTCAAGTTATGAATAACAGAGCTAGGATTCTGACCGGAGTCTTCGTGGTCGTTGTCTCCGCAACATTTCAAACTTTTGTTACAGTTCATGAGAACTACGACGTCATCCTCGCATTCAGGGTTTTCCATATCCCCGTAGGAATTCTGCAATGGAGTGGAAGTCCTGGGATTCCACGAGCCGTAGTCCAGCCCCACGTCTTCCACAGAGTCAATAGACATGGAGCGAGAACGGGATCGTACTGAAGAGGTCAGCGTTGAATTTCTCGACTGACCGCCGATGCCGGGTCTTGCAATGGCCGTAGCAGACGATGAGAGAGAAAGAGACGAAGCCTTGCAGCGTTGGCGTTTTGGAGGAGGCAGCGTTCTAGCATGAGCTGGTGACGGCGACGAAGACGGAGGCGGCGTCGTGCCCCGTAAACTTCCCGCTCGGCGAACTAACCTGGACAGAAGATCTTCCGACGTTTCATCAATCTCTACGACCCACGACACAGAATCACTCTTCTCCACAACGCCTTTAACTTTCGGTGAAGCGGGCGGTGAGGTTTCAAGGCTGTCGCCGAGAGCGGTGGCAGGACCTGCAGACAGATCTGAAGCACTGATATTCTGAGATCTACCAGCAGATAAAGGCCGCGGAGGAATCCTAGTGGCAGAGGGATCAATGTCAACGGAGCCATGAACACTTCTCCTCCCATTGGTCGGCGCTGCTGTCATGGAGGAGTTCATCGACGCTCCACTCAGAGCGGCCAGAACATTCACCACTTCCACATTTTGTTTCAATTTCCACTGCAGCTCCTCGTTGTGTAGCGACAGCCTCTTGTTCTGTTTCGATTCTTTGTGGAACGACTCCATGAGCACGCGTTTGTCCTGGGACAACTGTCTCTCGAGATTCGTCTTCACCTGCAGCTGCACCTGCAGGTCCTCCACCTTGGCCTCGAGAGCCGCAACTCGCTGCAGAGCGACCGGAAGTTCTTCGGCTTCTCTCGTCAGAAGCGCGTTCTGTTTACGTAGTTCCTGAAGTTCTCCGCGTCTCAAATCGAGCACCGTTCGAAGAGACCCCACTTCGTCCTGCAGTTCCTTACAATGTCCTGCGGTGACCTGTAACTTCGTGTCCTTATCTTTCTGCATGCTCTCCATCAGTTTTCGAGACTGATCTTTGAGACCGGAATATTCTTCTTCAACGCTGGCAAGCCTGCGTTTCAGCTCAGCTTCCCTTTCAGACGTGTCCCTCTGAAGACGAGTTAGGGCAGTTACGTGTTCATGCTGGACCTGCTCGAGGCGGACTTTTCCATCTGCTACCGCGACCTCCAGTTTCTCGACATTCAGCTTTTCCGCACGGGACAACTCCGCTTCGTGACGACCTCTCATCTCCTCTAACTGTAGGGAATAACAATTCAAGAAACATCACAGTTTCGTTTCAATCATGAGGAATTGGTGGGCGCAGAAAAGTACTACGAAAATTCTGAGGAAAATTTTAATTTCTCCAGCAAACGGATGCAAATAAATTAATCAAACCACCGCATGATCACAAAATATCGAATATTCCAGAAATCATAATTCCGTTGACGACAGCATGACGTCCCTGAAGACAGACGACGACAACTCGAAATCTCACACAATTCAAACTGCATTCCCTCAAGAAAGGTCGTCATTTGCAAGTCGCGCGGAAGCAACTGAGCAGTCCGCTTAGGAAATCAAACAGACAAACTTTTGCTGGAACTACGTACCTGTTCTCGCAGTCTCTTATCAAAGTCAGACAACTCAGCCTCGTGTCGCGCCACCACTGCAACCAAAACACGCACGATCAATTCTAAACTGAGATAAATACAGTCTTAAACATCTTTGATTCATTTTCTTCAGATCCAGAGTGGCTTCAATGGTTCTCTCTGCGTTCTTTTGTTTTCTCGCTATTAATTATACAATTAACTATAATTAATTATGCTTAAATTGCACAGAACATGAACTGATAAGAATTAAGTTGCCAATCAACAGCACATCCTTCTCCATTCTCCTTTCGTGCCCCGGAAAATGCCTTCGACGCCTCGTACGAGTTCCGCTCTAACGATTTAGGGAACTGGCCGACGCTACCCACAAATTAAAGATTTGAACCCACGGCTTCCCAAATACTAAGCAGGAGTGCCAATTTCATTCTTATAAGAAATCTAAATGTGAGCTATAAAAGAAGAAATATTTTCAGTGCTCACATTCCGCTACTTCGCGACTGTGCGCTCTGTCACTAGCAGCTTTAATTTCTTCTGTCCTCTGGAGATGTAACACATTCTCTTGCTTCAATTTGTCTTCCATACGCCGATAGCTCACCTGAGCTTCCTCTGAAACAAACATTTACAGTTGAACGAGAGGGCGTAATTAACCCTCTCTTTAAAGTCTGAAATACGAAGCTGGAGAGACAGCGAGCATGAAGTTCATTTTGTGATCCAGCCCGTTCCTACATTTTTTAAAGAAAAATGCTGCAATTTTCTTATGCAAAACTTAGTAAAACCTTAACTGGATACGTCTTGGGGCTCTTTTACAGAATTTAAAAACCGAAATCGGTGCTGGAAAACCAAAATGTTACTGTGGTAAAAGAATCCAGTGATCACTGAAATAAGGAGCCAGACCGATGACACAGATTTTATTAAATTTTATTAAATTTAAAAACTTACCTAGTTCCAGCTTAGTTTTAATCCACTCAGTCTTCATACTTTGCAAGTTTTTCCGCAACTGTGGCGTGGAAAAGGCATCCAGCTGGAATCAAACGACCAAGTGAGAGATGCACGCAAATGAGAAATGTAACGTGATTTAGGCAATTTCAATTTGACCGTAGTATGTCGAGAAACAGTCTTCTCGGGGAAGTCTCCTCGTACTTGCACGCGCTTGTCCTGTCACGTGAAATGAATTTTCGAAAATGACATCAGTCCATATTTTTTGTTTACCAGAAAGGGTTAAAATTCTGGGCCAAATACGAATTGCCTTGTATTACGTCAGCAAGAATTAAGTTCTGTAATTCTCGTAAAAGCAATTGATTTAAGAGGGGCGAGACATCGGACATGAACGACGGATTCTGGATGGAAAATCTGAATGGAAGACCCAGGTATAATATTAAAATGGGGGGTATATACTGGACTTCATCAGGCGATGGGGCCATGGGCTCTAGAAGAAACCCGGGTGCCATAAATGGGGAATATCTTAGGCATTTTATCAACTCAGAAAGGATGCTCCATGAGGCTTATTACGAGCTGTAAAGAAAAACATTTAAGACATTCGTACCAAGTTTGTTACTGAGTTTAATTTAATGATGCTGACTCAACTATGAGTGTTTTATAGTATCAAATGAGAGAATAGCCTCTGGCATGTTTAGAACAGAAATTTTGAAATTAAACTAAACACAAGCCACGTCAAATGTCAAACAATTTACAGAGATTGTTTCAAACTGAGGGCGCAGGTACCTGGTACTCACATTATACACGAGGTACTGAACCAGGACGCCCAATGCCTCGAAGCCAGCTGAGTTGTGCCTCAGTTGGAGGAGTAAAATCTCCACCGGTGTAGGCTGCGGTTGAGCAGCTGGGGGTCTTTGAGATGGGGCCGACACTTCCCCTGGCTTATTGGACGGAGATGACTCGCCCCCTGATTTGAAAACTCCATCTGCCTGATGCTGGCGATTGTGATCTGCAGAAATGTCATTGACAAAATGGAAAAAAATATAAAATCCTTTGTGGCCATAATCCAAAATGATTAAATGCGGGTTCCTAGGTTCCGGCGAAGCGATCAGTCCAAGCTGTTTACGAGATCAAATATTTTGCTTCATTTTCGATGCTGTGCGCGCGCACGAGCGGCGAAACAGCCGAAAGGCGACCATTCTTTGCCCGATCTTGGCGTAACTGAATAGGGGAGTTCAGTGACAAAAACTGAGAAACTCTTCTGCCAAACCCAAGCCACTCGATAAAAAAAGAAAGTAACTGGATAATTTCTTTGGACACACACGCAGGTCCTCATACAACTTGTGAAATTGGACTTTCAACGATCTCTGACTTACAAGTGGAGAGAGCCAAAATTTATTCATACGCGTCGCCCTTCCTCTTATCAAAAGGCGCACAGGCCAACTGTCTCCACAAAATTCAGCTCCCAACTGGAAAGAAAACGCAGACATTGGCGTTTATTTCGCCGTGCGCGCTAGCCCTAAATTGCAAGACTACGACGATAGCTGTTGGCGTCTGAAATAAGCCAGTTCGTAAAGGAAGGTTTATTTATGGCGCACTTATTGTGAGCATGACGTCATCGTGTGCGAGAGAGACTGTGAAACCTCTTGAGAACCAGATCCACCAAAAAAAAAGTGTCGTCCATCACAGAAACGTGTTTCATCCAGGATGTTAAGCGGAAAATGATCCGGTAGGACGAACTGATGTGTTGATATTTCGACAACGGACGTACGCCATCACCGGAAATCAGGCAGTAAAAGATCTCTGTTGAAACAAGCGCCAAGCTCTGCCCCCCCCCCCCCTCCAGCATCATTTTTAGTCCACTTTGTTCCCGCTTACATTCTTTTTACGGGGCACATAAACTTATGACCAGGGCGTGTGTTCGTATGAAGCTCGTCTGAACAATATTTAAGAATTCAGCCCGTACCGCGAAGAAAACACCGCACTTCACCATTACAAAGCTCAACTGGTCAACGCTGTTTAAGGAAACTAATCGCGGTTTACAGTGGGGATCACATTAAACACGAAAATATAAAATGAAGAGTTACTGATTGCTAAAACACCAAATAGTTACAATTGGACTTTAAAGGGTTAACACCGGCGTTATTTTTAACATAAAAATGTCACACTTGTATTTCAGAGAACCAAATATTTTCTTTGACAAACCACAATTTCTGCTGAAAGTCACATCAAAGGATCCACAGAAATTTTGTAGGTTAAAATGGCGCTTACATTCCCTTTAAAACCGATGGTTATACGATTCTGAATAAGAACACGTGTGTCTGGCCGTGTTGTGTTTTGCTGAAAGGCTGGTGGGTGACCTTTCAGCCACCGATCGGCCACAGCGTTATAAAAAGACGTAACGTAGACAAACATCGACTCTCCTTGGCATGAACCTCGACTGCGACTCTGCATGAGCTCACGCTTCAGTATTACGTTTTTTACAACTTTAAAATTACATTAAAGCTTCACTGATATCCGACCGCTCAACTGACTTACTAGTTCACATGAACCGAACGCCGATTATAATCGTGGAAGCAGTTCCTTTAACGCCTGACGCTCGTCTGAATATTATTTAAGAATTCAGCCCGTACCGCGAAGAAAACACAACACTTCACCATTACAAAGATCAACTGGTTAACGCTGTTTAAGGAAGTAATCGCTGTTTATAATGAGAATTATACGAAACACATTGATACACTACGTAGGAATCTGAATAATATTTAAATATTTAGTCCGTACCGCGAAGTAAACACAACTCTTCACCATTACGTAGATCAACTGGTTAACGCTGTTTAAGGAAATAATCGCTGTTTACAGTGAGAATCGTACTAAATACATACGCACAGAAGGTAGAGTTATTGAGTGTTGAGGAAGGTGGTACATATAGTTACCACCGGGCTTTAAACTCTCCTCGTGGCTGGTTTTTTCGTGCTATTTCTGCCTCGTTATCCGGGCAGACAAAAGTTAACCCCTACTAGGCAGGTTGTCCTCACTACTGCTTCGTACCTAACAATCCCTGACATCTCCAGTATTATTTAAATTCATTAAGTCTCGGTTACTTTCCACCCAATCATCTAGTTTAAACGATATGATTCCCTCCCATAATACCTAATTGCACTCTAGAATAACCTAGCTTCAGTATCTTTGGTGGCAGAAGTCAGCTGTTAACCGCGGCTGGAAAATGTGACGTCTACTTTAAATCTTAATTTGACAAACTTTTATTTCAAGATAATGAATAACAGGGAGCGGTTAACAAGCCAGTCTGTCTGTCTGTCTGTCTGTCTGACGCGCACCATTTGAACGGAAGATGAGGTTTCACATGCCGCAAACTATATGACAAAACCAACTCCAAAGGGCAACAGACCTCCTTGAGACGCTAACAGTTCCTTTTATGCAACGAAGTTCACAAGACCACACCCTGAGAGACGCCTAACACAATTTCCGAACAACCATTTTAATATTATCCTTCCATCTTAGCCTGTGTCTTCCGATAGGCGTATTCCCTTCAAGTCTGTTGATCAAAACTTCGTGATAACTTCTACTTTCTCCCATGCATGCTACATTCCTTGCGAATCAAATTATCCTTGGTCTCGTGTCGTCAGTCAACTCATTCATTCGACACGGCTAAACGCAGTAGTGGTGTTAATTGATAAGGCTGGTGATTAATATTGAAAATGACACAGTTAAGGACACATTCATCTGTGAGGAATAAAGTTTCAACACATCGAATACAAGTCCCATGAAATCACAGCAATCTGTCGCCAACCGCGTTATTTGATAAAATGTGTCCAATTTATCCGCGGCCTTTCATTTGCGTGCTCACGGAATATTTCTTACGTCTTCTGAATGAACGAACCCACGAAAGTTCCCCTCCTGTACACAGAGACGACGTTAATGCCACGTAAAACAATTTTAATAGCTCTCCCATTACCACAGCTTTCGTGGCACTTTTATATTTTTAGTCGAATTCATTTCTGAGCGTGTTCTTACTTTGCTTAAGGAACGGGTGGTCGCAGTTCCCCTAACCCCCAATTTCCCACAAGGCCTTTGTCTCGTAAACCGCGATTTCCCGTGGTTATATACGAACTGCTGTACAGTGTATAAATGTGGCAAAGAATTATCCCACGTTCACGCTTCGTTATAACACGTCCTCGCAAGCCTGAGGTTGCTAAAGACAAACCTCACGTGTGTGAGAACAGAGATGCCTCACTTCTTGTCTTTTTTTTAACTTCCCGTTAATATGGAACGGAAACACAAGGACCATTCATACACGCATGCGCTTGTTTTAATTGGCGTCCAGACTAAGCTCTGGCTGTGTGTTAACCAACTGTGTTATGTCAGCTCGCTAAGCTGTTCAAACATAACTCAGGGTCGGCGCATGTGCGCAGAACAAATTCACGTCTCCACAAAGTTCAATTGGAGAGCACTCTCAGAAATCCAGTTACCACCTGAATCAATCAAGACTGCAGCGCTCTACCGAGACAAAAATTAACATATTCTGATATGCGTCTCGGTATCCTACGTCGTGTCTTCCCTTCGGAATTCCTAACAAAAAATCTGCATCATTTCTTTTAAGTATATCCACACCCATACGTGATACATCTCACCCTACTTGATTCGGCCACCCTAACAAAGGATAAGCTAATATTTTAATATTTTCCGTCAAATCACAATTTTAATAAGATAATAAAATATAAAATATTTAAAATATAATTTCACGTTCCGCATCGAATGATCGATTTACAAATTGGAACGACGTTCCAATTTGTAAATCTTATTAAAATTATGATTTGACGGAAAATATTAAAATATTAACCTAATTCACAATATGACGCAAATATACTACCTTATAAAGGATAAGCTGTTCATTACGAAGCTCTTAATTACAGATCCACAATATTCCCACGACAGCAGCAGAAACGTCGTCTTTAAATAACCCAAGAGCCTTCGATCTAATACCACCTCAAGAACACATTCTACCGTTAGGCGTCTCTCGTTAGCAGCGAACAGACAGACAGACACAATGAGCGGAAGCCGGACCCTTATTCGCACAGCTCGGTAACCGGGGTTTATGGTCTGTAACAGCAGCTCGCAGTGAAGACTCGACTGTGCACGGCTGCCGAGTCGACATGAACTTTAAAATATATTTCCGTCGAAATGAGCCAAGCGACGCGTATCTTTCGCGTGAAAAACTTTACAGCCCTTTGCGTGGGCTGCAACCGCGTTTGCCATGCGCGTAAACCCGAGGCTTCGTTATTAACCCCAAAATAATATTTGGAACAGCAAAATGTCGGAGAAACCTTTTTCCCCAAGTATGAAAATTCTAGACTCAACAAGCCGACTCCCGGATGTCTGACTTCTATTTAGAAACATTTCATTCAAATCGCGGGTGCCTCACAGGACACAGCGAAGAAGCTGATTTTCCGAAAATGTTGCGCTCCTCACTTCCGGCGAAATAATGCACCACGTGACTTCCGGATGATGACGGTTTCAGTGCTAATACTAGAGCCTTTTTCGGCGCTTCAGTTAAGTCAGCACCCAGCATCCCAATTCGTGCTTGCAAAGATAACACGACTCAGCAAATGTCTTACCTACTCGATTACGTCATACGAGTACAAAGTCGGCCGCCACTTTGAGTAATTCAACTGCACGCAGCCCTAACCTGTTTCTGACACCACAGCCAGCTTGACTCTGAAACCGAAGAACGCGAAATTTTATCTGTAGAACGAAAGCGTTCAGAAGGAAAACAGGAATAGGTGGAGCCACGATATGCATGCTAGGTGACCAGCCGATCATTTATGACGTCCGCTGCGCTCCACGACGACTACCAAGCGAAGTCTGAAAGGAGGTAGAAGTTCGACGATTGCAGGAATTTGCTCAAAACTCCACAGCGTTGAAGCTTCGGAGTTTTGAGCAAAAATCTTGAGCAAGTGCGGAATCTCTCTGCATTGTCCCCCCCCTCCCCAAATTACCACAACGCATTTAAGACGCGTGTAATTTGGAATATGGAATAGGAAATTCACTGGACGCGCCGAAAACATTTTAGCCTACCTCCTGAGTATATTGACAGAACTTAAAAGACTTTCACTCATCAGATTTGCACTAACCTCGAAAAATCTACACCCATCTACTGAGAAAACATTCCTCCCTCCCACTCCTCCGAAACGTCGCCACTCTTAAACCGCAGAGCAAACAACGCCTTCCGAATTACACACACACAGAAACGTCTTCCGCAAGTTATCGGCGATAAGACCTCGTGTGCCTCCAGGTCTCCGGTGTCAGAAAACTCGCAAAGAAATTCGACAGACACTTGCTACTGCCATCATCAGGGCGCCCAGGCAACTGTTTTCATATCCTCAGATCGCAATGGCACAACGAAGTACGAGTAGTGACCACTTGCGACTTAAACGAAGCCCAACCTAGAAATGGGTATGAGGAAACATGACGTCATGCAAGCTAAAGCTGCAATGAGGTCGTGTTGATATGCAGACGGAGTTTCAATGGAGCTTCTCCTTGCCATTTGTAAGGCCGGAGTGTCAGCTCGTTCTAAGGCACAGGCGTTCAGAAGCCAGCGGTCGCCGTTCGTGCCCAGAACACAGCAAATATCGCAGGCACAGCGCCTTAGATGTGTCCAAAATTGCTCATTTTTAAAGATTACAGCTACTTTTCAATCTCGGTATCAACAAAACGCTGGAAAATCATTTTACTCGCAATTTGCTGTTCAGTGCCACCATCACAATGGCGGTCGCCCTCTGAACCTGAAATGTCACCTCGATAGACGTTCAGGAACTCACCTCGCCCGGTTCCTTCCAGAATCATGAGTGCAATGGAGCACGATATTCGCACCACACATCACGGCACACGGAACACATTCTGCAGAAGACGCTCGCCCGTCTGAAGCACGCGGCAGACTGACTTCTCAGCGACCCTGGGCTGACGCTGGCGTCGAGATTAACAGCCGGCCGGCCGGCCAGCCAACACTCTTGGGCTGTTCACTGTCCCCAATCGTTCGCTCGTTACCGAAATACATGTTTCGACCAGAGGTGGTCATCGTCGGATGTACAACTCACAACTTACTTTGGGATACCGTCAGTAACATCAAACAATTGTTCACTTCTGCGTTCTACGCCAATCGATGCTAACAACACGTCATTTATCATCTGCTTTCAGAACCGGGGCGAAGTTTCGACGAAATAAGTCTTACGACATCGAACGCCGTCCTGAAGTCGACGCGGTCAATCCAAAGAGAACCTCGCGTCGGAATTCGAGGTAATCAGGAACACAAGGCCGATAACCACGAAGAAAGCAAATTAATTTCCGACACTGACGAAGAAAGGCAGCGGTTCCCTTTGTAAGAAGTCACCGTTGGCCTTCGACACATTTACAGTTTCAATGGCAACGAGACGTTTCGCATACCAAAATTAAAATCGCCGGCAGAGGTCAGCCTAAGCGGCTGTCGGCCGATAATGAGCCCGAGGTCAGCTCTTCGAAAAAAACAAAACAAATAAAAAACTGAGAGACGAAGGGCGTCTATTGTTCCAACGAAATTAGTGAAAACCTGATTACGTAGGAAATTCCAAATGACCCGGTCGCTTTCGGATTCTGCATCTACAACTTACAAACACACGTAAGTGCATTTAAGGTGCACGCCACTGGACATTAATTTTTACAATTCCGTCACACTTGTTCTGCTGTGTTCGTGATTGTTGTGAAACTGAACGGACTAACGGAATAAGGCAAGAGATTCAGTTGTCTTCCTAACATTTTTCAGAAACACTTTTAAAAGACACAGACAAGCTGAACCTCAACTTTAAGCGACGGCTAACCTATTTTTACGAAAGAATTCCGGCCAATAATGGGGCAGAATCAGACAACTATGACGACCACACGCACGGAAACATAATTAAGGGATAGAATGTACTCACAAATGTCTACTGTTAGGCAAAAGATGTTCTCGATTCTCGAAAGTTCCGCTGCTTAGAGCAACTTGCAGTTCTACCACACTCAAATGATGAAAAATCACAGTTACTTCAAGCGAGATAAATCGATAGCAAAACGTAGGCACGTTCGTGTTGTCGGTATCAACAATTACTTCAGCGACAAATATTAAGCGGCGAATTAAACATGAAAATAAAAAAGGTTTGGCTACAACAATGAACGCCATAGAAACAGTTAAACTGGTACGCTAATTTGCAACAGTCATTGTCAGGGCTGCCAACGATGGGACTCTACTCTGAAAGTAGGTCTATATTTTTTTAAAGTCCTTCATGGGAAACAAATGAGAGGCAACTGCGAACAAACACCGTTTTAAATAAAATCTACCAAGAAGCCTACTCAGTCATCAAACAGTGCAAGCTGACAGCACCGTGCATAATTACTACAAGCCGCAGGGTCTGCGTTGACTGAAAATTAACGAAACAGGGCTCATGTTACTACGAACTTTACTAATTCTGATCGTTCACTCACCCTTCACGCCACGAGGCAGTCGCAAAGACGTCCATTCTGGTGAACGCCGATGAAACGTGACGCCCTTGGAAAACGCACTAATGTTACCGGGCAGATGCGCCTTTCCTTTGTTGTTCTTGTTCTTGAAGAACGCGGCTAACTTGCCCAGAGGTCCCATCGCGCGCCCACGGCCGAGTGTCGAGAGGAGTCGATCGTCAGCAAAGCCCAGCTTTCTTTTCTGGCTCGCTGCTGGCACTTTCCACTCTCTCACTGGCCCTACTTGTTTCGTTCTGGCTGCGGTCGTTGCTACCGGCAGGTCGCTCGCTTACCGAAACGCCAACGACTCGCGCGCGCCTCGGCGACGGAAAATGTTTTCGAAACACACGCCGGTCGCTTGAGTGACGTATCAAACACCTCTGAAACGTCGGTTAGTCCCTGCCAGACGACGGCCATCATGTCATATATAACGCACAAACGTCCTGTAAGAATACAAATGGAGGCAGAGTGTCCGGAAGCCAACGCACCCCAACCAATCAATACCCGGAACAGTAAGCAAACTTCAGCTGGAGCTGAAGGAACTCGGCTTTTGTGTGTCAATGCCCATTTAACAAACTTTGTTCCTTTTCATTGGCACGAGTAGTTTGTGACGCTAAAAACAGATGTCGCGTGTATCCACAACAACGGAATGAGTGTCTCGATAATTAAGGTGCATCTGTTCCATTGTTTCACGTGAAGACAGGCTAAGATTAGGACGCGTTTACAAAGACACACACACAAGGAAAAACCTTTAACCAGACATTACTTTCTATTGATAACCAAAACACGAATCAGAAACGCTGATGGATCTTCTTCAATATCTTAACGAAGAGACATTTTCATTACCGTGTTTAGAAAGCACAACGCCACTCGCCACTCACAGTCTGTTTACGCGTTTAATTCGGTTCTCGAGGAGAACTTTTCCTGCAGATCGACTACGTACGTATTTCGATGCGGTGTTTTATACTGAAGGCAAAGACCGTTGGATTTTAAACTATTATTTAGACGTGTTTTGTACTTTAAACCTCAATTGCTAACCGCGAAGCGAACACCATTAAAAATAATGATCTAAAGGAACACGTTTCCCGTTTTGGTACGAAGTTGACCCAGACAGATCGACCGGGTGATAATCAGGCAGGGTAACCGCTATCACACTGATCTAATGCTGAGAAGAGAGGGCGCCATTTTCCCACCGCCTGTAGCTTGGTAACAATAGAGCATCATCCGTTTCCTGCGCAACCTCCCTGAAGATGACCTTTCGCGTCTGAATGTGGGGTAATGGCCTACTCAGGAGTGAAAGCAAGTAATCTGACGAGTAGCAAGAAAGTTTAGAAATGTTCTGGGCTTAATTGGAAACATATTATGTATCATAAGTAAATCGTCAGCTTCGACACAGCTGCAAAGTCATTATCGTTATTCTGTGATCCTTGAAATCATAATGGGGGGGGGATTCCTGCAAGTCCGCATTTTTCACTGTCGAAAGAAACTTCGCCATAACAATCTGTTCCAGGGCCAAGAAGTCTTCGTAGGGAAGTTTGGCAGGCCAGCGAGAATTCCGGCACGCGTCTTCCGGGAACTGGCCTTCCAACAGCGAACCATTTGCGCTCGTACGACGCGTACACACTCCCATCAAGCAATTTTTCAACAAACCGTGTGTTCGGCGTAACAATAGCAACAAAACGGATTATGTTTCTGCCTCCATCATCAGGACGATGAGTGACCATGATGATGGAGGCTGCAAGCATCTCCGAAACGTCGACCAATTTCTACCAGACTACTTGTACATCCCAGATGACAACTATCTTGATAATCTCACCCAACTTAGACCAAAGATCACAGCATCACTCACCCCTCAAAGGCGTTGGCTTCTGCGTGCTGTTGGTGGTGTTGCGTCGCGACGCCTGCTTGCGAGCTGACGGCGTCTTCATGTCAGCGACGGCGGTCACGCCAACCCCCTTCTTCTCTGTAATGATCAGAATCATCGATTTAATGACTGGGTCTAGAAGCAAACGCACAGAGAGCGAAGTGCCGGCCGATGTCAAGACACTGAAGGGAGAAATTTAAATATTCCGTACGGGCGATATTAATTTGTCTCTCGACACGCAACGATGTTGCGTGATGAAAGATGAATGTTTCGACTTTAATTTAAAACTTTTACGATACTAACGAGGACGTCCTACTTTTCCAGACATGATAAAACCAGATTTAACTTAACGAAGAAAAAACCTTTTACCTTACAAACAATTCAACAAAAATCAGCGTTTGATTCGTGACACGTTAACCCTTACGAGAAATGTAACGTGGAGTGGCTAAAACAGCCAACATGAAGAGTGGCGTTTGCTCAGAACACTTGTCCGCAACTCACTTCGTCGTCTACGAAACGTCGCTCTTAAAACTCAGAGAACTCAGACTCGCACTCAGTTTCACTGTGTCACTGCAGTCCTTAAAACAAGTGATCCACGACAAAATGGACAACGAACACAACGTCACTACGTGTAAGAAAAGACGCGAATGTTTTAAACCATTATTAATATAACACGAGAGCTGGTGTCGGTCGACAGCTGTAGTAACCTGAATTATCGACCTCCAAGTCCTTTCATCAAAGCAGCGTGAATCTGAGCTGTGAACTCAGAACTGTAGTTACCAGACCATGGTAACACGAGGCACACGCTGTCAGACGGCATTCGAGACAGTGACGACAATTCCTTCTTGTGAAAGCGACAAGCGTAAGTTGTTCTCAAATTACTTCCTCCGAGGTCCATCTGCGTCCCCCCCCCCTCCACCACCGCCACACATCAATTCCTGCCTCCAGCCATGTGAACCCGGTTACCCTCAATGTCGCCATTAGATGATAAGTCCCCAAGAAATCTGAAAAACTACAACCAACAGACACGTGACAGTCTACGGCACTCTGTTGAGAGAGTTCGCAATTAAAGATTGCGAAACTGCGTCTCCTTTGCCACAGCACGAACGTAACAACTCGAGAACAGCTGAACAAATTTTAATTAAACCTGACACTGCAGTGTTTTATTAACATCTTCCGAAAGATACAAATTTTGACGAAAATCTGTCAACAGTAATGGAATCTTCACACAAAGTGGGGAATCCTCCGGACATTTACAGAGGTCGAAGATAACGTTAGGGCGCAGCCGGAGTAAAAATTACATTAAGCGTGCATTTCCTAACTTCTTCCGGGTTATCTCTTGATGTCAGAGTCGTTGCGATTGGCTGATCACTAATTTAGAGAAATTTCGTGGGTCTACATTACTCGGAATGTCTTCTGCGATGGAGACGATTAACACAGCGTTGGGTTCCGTTCGATGAGAACTCGTCTTCCAATTTTGATTTCTCGTCACTTAGAAGTGCAAGGACACCGTCTGAAAATGACTTTCGGCTGAATCTCGACAGTCAGCCCGTCATCTTGGCTCCTTCAGCATTAATGACGCAGTGAAAATAAAAGCAGATTTTATACATCCCTGGAAACTAACAAAACTTTCATCTGAAGGTTTTGGTCAGTGTCCAAGTTCTCAATCCCCAGGTTTCAAGAATTGGAATAAATAATAAATAGTTCTTAATGAACACAATTTGCGAACTGCTATAGAATATAAAGTAGTATCTTTCGTAGGAAAGAAATCACTCTTTCTCGTGCTTTCTCTCCTTTTCTCCGTTAACAGTTACCCACGAGAATTCTTCCACGAAAGGCGATTCTGATGAATACATCTGCTGGGAACAGAAAGTCGATTCAAAAGACTCGTTTCTCCTTCTGCCGTCAAATGACTATTCTCCCGCACTCGGACATCGTCAGTCAACAGTCGCACTGGTGATATTTCTAAGTGACCCTAATTAAAACATCTGTCGTGTCTGAATCGTAATAAATAAGGGTATGAGGATGCTGAATATATGGCACACGGCAGACTATTTATTTACCCGTTCTATAAATCGCAGTGTTAAAAAAAACTCGCAATCCTTCCTTGTCCTGAGCTAGAAAACGTATTCCTTCCCACTGTTCCAAGAACTCTTTTAATATTATCGTCCTATCTGCTTATTATCTAAACGGGTTTCTAATGCTATGGCAGTAAGCCATAGAAACTGTAATTATACCACCAAATTTCCGTCTTCCTCTCCGAATAAGAACAGCTTCATTGCTAATTTGACCCCTCGACGGATAATCATTAAGGATATGGGCCCTGAGGACACTTTCGAGTGCGTATTCCTGCTTTATTACACGAGGTACAAAATGGCGCTTAGCGGCGAGTATGAAGATGGCAGTTTTCTGGGTTGTAGCAACGTGTAGTCTGGAAGAAATTTACCGACGTTTCAGAGATTCATACTGCCTGCTCTATCAAGACGATCATCAAGTGCCTCTGAAACGTCGGTAGACTTCTACCAAACTACACTGAGCTACAGCCCAGAAGACAGCCATTATATTCGGTAATGTAATGACAGCCTGGAAGCCTCCGTCATTATTCTAAGCGAATCTCTTATCCAAATTACGTAAAATTTCAGAGACACTATCGAAGCGCTTAGTCTGGGACACAGAAAACTGTTCACTGGAATTGTTCAGTCGGCAAAAATCACTTTCTGCAGAGACCTACATGACTTGTGAAGCAATTCTTGCCGATGCACGCGGGCAAAATGCTCTTCGTTTCGGACAACCAAGAAGACGGCTCGCGAGGGAAATCCACCGGACAAACGGGATGATGGAGCTGCGGCTTCCTCCTAGCCACCTTTCCAGAAACATCGAGATTCACTTTCTCCACTTAAGCGTCGCTCTCAAGGACATGTTTTGTAAACATTGCGTATTTTTCACTGTGGTCTCATTCTGTTCCTGCAGGTTATGAGGAAAGCGTCAGTGTCCACCTGGGGTACGCGAAGACATCTTAGGGGGTACGTGAAATTTTAAAAAAAAAAAATTATTTTATGATAAACACTGAATAATGAGTAATGTAATTTATTTAATTTATTTTAGATGTAGATTATATACTATGTATAACTTGAATTATACACCAAAAACTTTGGGGGTACAATGTTGAAGAGAAATTATATCTGGGGGTACGCGAACAAAAAAGGTTGAATGCCACTGAGATAGACCAAGCTCACTCTACTCAGACTGGGAAAGAACGCCTCACACTCTCAACAAGCAACATGTTCGTTCTCATGTTTCATCTCCGAAACTGCTTCACGGATTTTGATCACCTTTCATACTTACGTCGCGAGGAAAATTAATCTTAGGTTTTCGTATTACCCAAAACACACACAAAGCTCAAACTAGAGGTCTCTGGTTCAAACCTCGGCCCGGAGGCCGACAACCCTGAACGACGATTTTCATAGTTTTCTTCAGTTCCTCCAGACCACAGTTGACGTTGAAGTAATATATTTTTACCGACCGCACACACGGAAGACGAAAGGCGCAAGGTTACTTTCACGAATTTGCCAAGTTGTTCAGCACCCACCCCTTTCGGCCTGTATCTTCTCGTAGAATTACTTTGCTTCAATTAGTGAGATACGGCGAAATTTTATGGAAATAAACTCACAGTTACTTCGTAGCTCACAAATACGCCAGAGTTTGAGTAACCATGACACTTTTATTCACGTCGAAACCAAGAGGATCAGTTCTGTGTTCACAAGAGCCAGATGAATCCAGTTCACACTCTCAAATCACATTTCTTCACGATTTTAATATTATTATGCTCACATCTCGTATGCCCGGGGTTTTTTGTAAATGGTCTCTAATTTTCAGGCTTTCTAAGTAAAATGTTACGAGTTTCCTACCCATAAAATATATCACAACTAATTATCGGTCCATAAAATTATAAATATAAAATTCTTTGAAGTCACCCGCCATAACATTCAGTAACTCCACATTTTTCTCACAGAGTGCGTTGTAAAGCGATCATTTCCTTAAACGGCGTTAACCAGTTGATCTTTGTAATGGTGAAGAGTTGTGTTTTCTTCGCGGTACGGCCTAGATTTTTAAATACTGTTTAGATATGCTTCGTCCTTCAAAGGAGAAAAATAAATGAAAGTTATAAAGCCACTTTCTCCTTGACATGTGAACGATATGCATTAATACTCGTTTACGGCGATGTAAAAGAAACGCTGATTGGCCTAGCCACTTCGACTGCGGGTAATTTCGAGCACTGACAGTCCGCAGGAAACTGCTTCGAACCCCAGATCGGCTAATCTGGCGTTTCTTTAAATGACCCCGAACGGAATTCACTGATCGTTCGTTACCCGAACAGTCACGATAACCCGAAAGAAAGGCGAATCAAACACGGCAGCTTCAGGCCTGGTTCCCGCACGGTGCGTTCCAAGTGCCCTCAAGGACCGCGCAATTAATGCAAAGAGTTCTGCAGAATCCGGAGAGAGGAATTACCTAATACGTTGGACTTCCTCGGAGGCATCCTCACCCACACTGTGCAGAATATAGACGGGCGGGTCCCCCAAACCAAATCTCGCGGTAACAATGCGCGGAGCCAGCCATCCATGTCACTCACGCCCTTTCAGTCCGACGAGGGCTCAAACGGGTGACGAGTTATCTGCCAGAAACTCTGACGTTCAGATTCGAAACAACTTGCCTTCGAAATTTCCTAACCTGAACTAGTTCCGGAGCTTTTGGAAGGGTCCTAATGCATTCGGTCTGAATTTTTATGTCGTCCTTGGGACAGCAGCGTTTGGTGAAATTCTGATGCCAACATAGGAAGCGAATGAA